CATGGGCAGGTCATGCATGGGCAGGTCATGCATGGGCAGGTCATGGGCAGGACGTACAGGGTCTCAAGCTTGCCGAGGTTGCTGATTGAGTCGGGGATAGATCCTTGCAGGTCTGTGTTCTCAATGTCCCTGCAGCACCAACCATCCATCACCACTCCATCGTCACGCCAGCCACCACCATCACGCCAGCCACCACCATCACGCCAGCCACCACCATCACGCCAGCCACCACCATCACGCCAGCCACCACCATCACGCCAGCCACAACCATCACGCCAGCCACCGCCATCACGCCAGCCACCACCATCACGCCAGCCACCACCATCACCACCACGCCACATCACATCAGAGAACCACCATCATCCGCATTACTACATCACCATCATGGCATCTGTTCCCATTGCCATTCCGTTCAGGTAGCTTGACTCACACGGCAATGATCATGCCGTACCCACCGATGCGGGGATACAATTGTACTACTTTTGAGAATGCCCAACAGACTCACAGGGAAACAATCATGCCGTTTTCATCGCAAGATATGAACTCGAGCGCCCCACAGTCCCAGTTGGAGACGGACTGGTCAGCCGGCCATGTCGCTGAGGGATTGCCCCACGCGCCCTGGCAGTCCCGCAGGAATTGCACTGCTCGTTGGCGTGGGAGGAGGGAGGAGGAGGGACGATGGAGGAGGGAGAAAGTAGGAGGAGCAGGGAGGAGGATCGGGGAGGGAGAGAGACGGCAGTGCACATGAGTATGAGTACTACACGCCGGCGAGAGGAACGGCGAGAGGAACGGCGAGAGGAACGGCGAGAGGCACGGCGAGAGGAACGGCGAGAGGAATGGCGAGAGAGAGGAACGGCGAGAGGAACGGCGAGAGGCACGGCGAGAGGAACGGCGAGCCCGCAGCACGTCGAGATGCGGCACACCTTGGGAGCTCTGCAGAGTCGCACCGCCGTACACCCCCGTGACGCCCGCCATAGCTACAACCGTCACCACCGCTAGAACCGCGTCGAGCGGCGACGGCGCCGCGGCGAGCGTCGGTGCGCGGCGCTGGCGCGGAGTTCGACGAGTCGTACCCAGCGTCATGATGACGGAAATACAGCGCTAAACGTCGTAAAAGACGCTGGCGCCGCGGGAAACGAGCGAACAATGAAACTCGAAATTCTAACAGCCGGATTGCGAGGGGGTTGTTTATTCCTCAGTATAAGATTCGCGGGTCACGCGACGATAGGATGCTCGCGTACAGATGGTGATTCGGGATCGATCGCATCTGGAAGCAGAGCTCTTAAGCTTTGGGGATTCGGGGAGTTAAAACAGATGAGAAGGTCTGGGACTGCCTTCGGAAAAGCTTGCGCATGACCCTGTAATGCATGTAGCAGCATAAGGCTCTACTACTACTGGCGATTGAAGCCGGCCGGCCGTGGAGCCGCTGAAGGCTGAACGGGATCACCATGCTGCGATGCGACCGTGCCGTCAGGACTCCGCCACTGTTTCACACTCAACAGTATCTTCATGAGAAGTAAATATTTCCCACCCCAAAGTCCTGAAAAAGGTTGTACCGCGTTTCACCGCACTGTATTACGTCATTCACGTGGTAAACCGCCCTGTAACACTTGCTGGAAAAAAGAAAATGTTACACAAGCTTGCTGCGATGAGCTACCACATTTGTTTGTCTTGCAAGGACAGGTGGTGGTTGCTCCGATTCGTGGACTCAGTGAGGGAAGTCTGACAGGTTTGATTCAGAAAGCGAATTAGGCCGCGTAACTTTTTGGGTTGCGTAGCAACCCTATACATTTGGTAGCACTTTTCGGTCGACTCGAATGAACAGTGCAGTTTTTGTCATTTTCCCAACGTTTAAAGCCCTCGTTTTTACGTTTTCAAAACGAGTGCTCCAAAGTTGTGGACATGACGAAAGCACTGAGAGTCCCCCAAAAATGAAACCAAATGTAACCTTTCATTCCATAATCGTCGATAAATACGGCGAATGGAACAATCGGTCGTCACGAAACACAATTGATGAGAAACATCCACTGGACGTGAACGCAAATCATGTGCAGCGCATCCATTGATCACGCGCAAAAACAACACATAACAACTAAGAGTGAATGCTAAAATGCATGGATGCTACAACAGAGATGGTTCCGGTATGCTAAGGCGAGCAACGCTGCCCCAACAACGATCCCCACCTCAAATGCAGACCCGACACATTTTAACATCACACCTCAGTTGCATAACATGTGCATAAACAACACAAACAACTGTGAGTGGATGCTAAAATGCATCGGTGCTACAGTAGAGGTGGTTCCGGTATGCTAAGGCGAGCAACGCTGCCCCAACAACGATCCCCACCTCAAATGCAGACCCGACACACTTTAACATCACACCTCAGTTGCATATACGGTACAAGGCACTTTAGCACACGCCTCTGTTAGAGTTACTAGCTAGATGAGTGGATTCGATTAGGTAAGGGGGGGGTACAAGGACTATCGAGAGAGATTGTTGTACCCTCTAAGGAAAGAACCCTACACAACCTAGAGTGAAATAAGCAGAACAATATGTTTTGACACACCCCCATAGGTGAAGTAGGGGATAGCCAAGCCTAACAGTGGTCACAAGACCAGTCAAGCAAGAGAACAAGCAAGGCAAAGCCCAGGGTGGATCTCAAGGACACCACACAATCTGAGCACAAGCAGGCAGCCACAAGGCCAGTTCACATGCAGATTTATAAGAGCAAGGCAGTACACAGATCACAACCTAGCAAGAGGAAACATGCAGGTATAAAGATATATAGCAGTGTACAACAAGAGCAAGTCAAGCAACCAGCAGGTGAGGCAGAGTGGGCACAAGCCCAAGAGCAGTGCAGAAACGCTGATGATCACCAGCCGCAAGGGCCTTGGTGAAGACATCAGCAGTGTTGGCCCGAGAGGCCACGAAAGCAAGGCGCAGCTGACCACGCTGCTACAGCTCACGCGCAAGGAAGTAGCGCAGAGCAATGTGCTTCGTTCTGTGCTCCAGTCTCTGTTCGCGACACAAGGCAAGCATTGCCTTGTTGTCGACGTACAGAACTGGAGGAGAACGAGGCCGCTCCCCCAAGTCGGTCAGCAGGTAGGTCAGCCAACGGAGCTCCTGTGCAGCCATGGCCCCAGCGTAGATCTCGGCCTCACAGCTGGAACCAAGCACAGAAGAAGAACGAGTGGACCTCCACGAGACAGAACCAGCGCCAAGACTGAAGGTGTAGCCCTGTGACGAACGCTGAGTCGCCTGGTCGTCAGCCCAAGAAGCGTCAGAGTGTCCTGTGAGGACCACAGGACCCCGTCCTCCAAGCACGAGCCCCATGCCCGATGTGCTGCACAAGTAACGCAGTACCCTCTTCGCAGCATCACAGTGCACCTTTCGGTGCCTGCCGGGTGCCACGTAGCGAGCCAGAAGGCTGAGAGGATACGCGAGGTCAGGTCGTGTGCACGTCATCAGGTACATGAGGCAGCCCACAAGCTCTGGGTACGGACCACTCGGCTCTACGGACTCGTCCGAAGGTGGAGCTGAGAGCGAGTGGCCGGTAGCCAGAGGAGTGGGCTGTGGCGAGGAGTACGTGAAGCGGAAGCGCTGAAGGACCTGGTGCACCATGTGTGACTGAGTCAGGGTGATGGTGCGCCGTGCTCTCTCCCGGGTGATCTGCAAGCCAAGATAGCTCCGCAGCTCACCCAGGTCAGTGCAGGTGTGTCTCTCCTGCAGCTCCGCCTTCACTAGGGTCAGTGCCTCAGTGTCAGCAGTAGCAAAAACCAAGTCGTCGACGTACACGAGGATGTAGAACGGCGGCAGAGTAGTGTCGGTGCGTAGAAACAACGACGGGTCAGCAGTCGAAGGAGCAAACCCAAGAGCCGCAAGTGTCGTCCTCAGTGTGTCGTGCCACTCACGGGGCGCCTGACGCAGGCCGTACACTGGTCGCCGTAGGCTCCACTGGGTACCCGCAGGAAACGACCCAGTGAAACCCTGTGGACGGCGCAACCAGATGGCCTCGTGAAGGCTACCCTGCAAGAAAGCTGTCGAGAAGTCGAGGGAGTGCAGCTCGTAGTCACGCTGAGCTGCAACGTGTAGCAACACCCGAAGAGTGGTCATCTTCGGGGTGGGGGAGAAGGTCTGAAAGAAGTCGACCCCCTCACGCTGACTGAAGCCTCGAGCAACGTAACGTGCCTTGAAGGCAGGCGGAGAACCCGGCGGCCGCTTCACCCTGAAAATCCACATGCCACTGACGATGTTCGCCCCAGATGGGGGAACCTCGTCGACGTAGGTGCCTGTGGACTTCCAGGAAGCCATCTCTGCGTCCATGGCTGTCTGCCACTGAGAGGAGTACTCACCCGAAATCGCCTCCCTGTAGGAGTGCGGGGTGGGGATGTCAAGTGCATCCGGGTCTCCTTCAGGGGCAAGCAGCATGGTCGCGTGATGGGGTGAAGCGGCAGCAAGGCACTCCAACTCCTCCTGTCTGTCCTCAAGAACGTCACAGCCAAGGGCAGTGCAGCCAAGAGCAGTCTCACCCCCGACGGACGGAGGACAGGCAGGGACAGGGTCAGAGACAAGACTCGCAAGGTAGTCTAGGCGGTACACAGCAGCAAAGTCAACGAGCTTAGCTACTAGGGCAGACGCAGCAGGAGACGAGAACGTAGGGTCCGTCACAACCGTAGCAAGAAGGCGAGTAACAGTCGGACTGGACGCACGAGTAAGGTCAGACGGAGGGTCAGCAACGTCAGGCAAAGAAGACGCAGGAGGTAACGGTAGGACAACACGCTGAGGAACAGAGGAAGGACGTAGTGTCATATCGTGAGTGCCGGGGACAGCCGGAGCACGCTGACGACGAACACGAGGAACACGAGCACGGACAGCAGCTCTAGGCTCAGGCTCAAGGCCAAAGCTAGACTCAGGCTCTCGACGCTCAGGGGTGGAAGCACGAGTCTCAGGCTCTCGACGCTCAGTCAGGGACTCTGACACCGCAGTGTAAGGAGCAGGAACAGGCAGTGGGGAGTGTGGTAGCAGCGGCGGCTGTGACTGGTCCGCCGGTGGACACAGCAACGGAGGAGTAGTACCTGCCACAGGGAAGCCAGTAGCACCTGGCTGAAGACTGAGAAGGTGGCGAAGAGCACCAGTAGCTCCACCAGGACCTCCAGCACCTCCAGCACCTCCAGCCCCAGCAGCTTCGGCGCCTCCAGCACCAGCAGCTCTAGCAGCTCCACGACCTCCAGCACCAGCAGTACCTCCAGTACCTCCAGCACCAGCAGCTCCACGACCTCCAGCACCAGCAGCACCTCCAGTACCTCAAGCACCAGCAGCTCCACCAGGACCAGCAGCACCTGCAGCTCCCCGACCTCCAGCACCAGCAGCACCTCCAGTACCTCCAGCACCTCCAAGACCTCTAGCACCAGCAGCACCTCCAGGACCTCCAGCACCAGCAGTACCTCCAGTACCTCCAGCACCAGTAGCTCCAGGTCCTCCGGTAGGAGCTCCGACGACACCAACACCAGAAGGACTCGCAGCACCCCCAGAGTCAGCACTCGAACTCGAAGCACCCCCAGAGGCAGCACCCTCGGTCTCAGCACTCGCAGGCTCAGTACCCTCAGTCGCAGCACCCTCAGGCCCAGTACCCTCAGTCCCAGCACCCCCAGGCTCAGTACCCTCAGTCCCAGCACCCCCAGGCTCAGTACCCTCAGTCCCAGCACCCCCAGGCTCAGTACCCTCAGTCTCTGCTCCAGTGTCCACAGCAGCAGGCTGCAGAGGCGGCGAAGACGGCCGTGGCGGGAAACCCGGGGGGGTCTCCAAGCGAGGAGTGCGGCGAGTGGTCGCCGTGTCGTCGGCGACGGCGTCACCCCCCTCAGGTGAGTCAGAGGAGTCAGAAGAGATCTCAACTGGCTCATCCAAGGGGGGTGGGTCTACCTGGGACACACCTGAGGGAGCAGGACCCTGTGGGGGAAGGGGGTCTACCGGGGGGGGGACTGGTACCAGGAAGAGAGGTGCGAGAGGGACCGGGTGGGACGCGTGCGGGTGAAGTCGGTAGTAACAGACCGACTCGTCAAAGGTGACATCCTGAGAGGACAGAACACGACGCGAGGCAGGGTGGTAGAACTGCCAGGGTGGAGCGTCGGTGGGGAAGCCCAGGAAGACACAGCGGAGAGTGCGAGGGGAGAGCTTGCTCGCTTTGGTATCGCGAACAAGGGAGAGCGCGCCCCAGACCCGAAACGACGACGCATCACCAGGCTGTCCCGTCCAACGGAGTGTGGGCAAGGTCTCTGGAGCAGAGACACGGGGCCAGAGGTTGAGCTGATGCGCGGCGTATCGGACCGCAAACGGCCACAGGAAATGGGGAGCAGCCGCATGGATCATGGAGGTACGAGCAACCTCCATGATCAGGCCAATGCGACGCTCAGCGATCCCATTTTGCTGCGGAGAGGCCGGAAGCGTGAACGACTGGCGGATGCCCTCATCCTGGCAGAACGTCTCAAGGACGCCAGAGGAGAACTCACCACCCCTGTCAGAGTGCAGACGCAGGACTGGGAAGTCCTGCTGAAAGCGCTCGTGCAGCTGGAGACGAGTAGCACGGATCCAGCGGATCAAGACACCACTGACATCCGCCTTGCGCCGCAAGGGGAAGACTGTGGTGTAGCGTGTGTAGTCGTCAACAACCAGCAGGAAGTAGCGCTCCTGGTCCGTTCCACCGACGGGGGCCGGGCCCCACACGTCCATGTGGAGAGTCTGCAGAGGAGCAGTGGTCGGAGGAAACTTGGAGGAGTGAGGAGCGGCGCGCTGCCGCCCCTCGACGCAAGGAAGGCACGGCGGCGCAAGTGAGCGCGGGAGGGGGGGCAGGGTCTCAGGGAGGCCAGTGACCAGGAGCCGGGAGTGCATGCGGCGCAGACGCTGCAGGGAGGGGTGACCAAGACGGTGGTGCCAGCGCTGAGTCTCGTGCGTGAGTACTCGGCACGAGCAAGACGCAGCTAACTGCCCTGACGCAGACGCTCGACTCGACGTAGCTACCAGACCTGACTCAGCCACCTGTGCAGACGCAGTGGTCAGTGTGTACAGACTAGACCCAGGCTGTCGAGTGAACGTAGCCAGGTGACGGCCAGTCCGGGAGCACGTACAGATCGCCACACGCTGCCCTCCAGGAATAAAGGTATCAACCCAGACATCCTGAATGGCAGCGTTGCTCACCAAGTTCGTCGAGAACGTGGGGAGGTGGAGACCTGACAAAGAGCCGGAGGGGACTGCTGGACAAGGGAGGACCGTGGAGGCTCTCGCAACCACTGGGCCCCCAGAGGGGTCAGCCAGTGAGACTGGGACAGGTGCTGTGAGTGGTGTGACTGTGGTGCAATCACGGAAGAAGCAACGTGACGCGCCGGAGTCAAGCGTGAACGTGTGCAAGACCTCAGCTGAGGCAGGACCTGTGGTAGTAGACGCACTAGCAACTAGAGCGTCGGTAGACTCACGGGCACCTAGAGCTGCAGCAGACTCACTAGCACCTGGAGTGGCAGCAGACTCACTAACACCTGGAGTGGCAGCAGACTGACTAACACCTGGAGTGGCAGCAGACTCACTAACACCAAGAGCAGCGGTCTTAACATAACGATAACCTCCACCACCAGGACGACCTCGCTGAATAACCCACTCACGAAGCTGCTGAGGGGTGGGGTCGTCCGGGAGAAGCAGTGCCCGCTGCTGTCCACCCCTGGCCTCAGCGACTGCCGCGGAAGTGGCCATGACAGACAGTGACTGTCAGGAGTAGGTCCAGCACCTCCAGCTCCTACAGCGCCAGCAGCACCTCCTACACTCCCAGCAGCACCTCCTCCACTCCCAGTAGCACAAGTAGCAGCAGCAGCAGTAGTAACAGCAGCAGGGCGGTTCGGTGGGGGTGGGAGGCCGCACCTCCACCACTCCCAGCAGTACTCCCTCCAGTAGCAGCAGTAGCAGGGCGGCTCGGGCAGCAGCAGCAGACCGAGCAGCAGCAGCAGCAGCAGTAGCACTAGCTGTAGCAAGTGCAGTAGTAGGAGCTGCAGCAGTAGCACTAGCTGTAGCAAGTGAAGTAGTAGGAGCTGCAGCAGTAGTACTAGCTGTACCAAGTGAAGTATTAGGAGCTGCAGCAGTAGCTTCAGTCAGGAGCAGCTGCAGTAAGTGCTGGAGTAGGAGCTGCAGCAGTAGCACTAGCTGTAGCAGAAGTAGCTTCAGTCAGTACCAGCTGTACCAAGTGCAGTAGTAGGAGCTGCAGCAGTAGCACTAGCTGTAGCTGGAGTAGCTTCAGTCAATAGTAGCTGTAGCAAGTGCTGGAGTAGGAGCTGCAGCAGTAGCACTAGCTGTAGCAGCCGTAGCTTCAGTCAGTAGCAGCTGTAGCAAGTGCCGTAGTAGCAGCAGCAGCAGTAGCACTATCTGTAGCAGCACTAGCTTCAGTAGCAGCAGCAGTGAGTAGCGCTAGCTGTAACAGGAGTAGCGTCAGTAGCAGCAGCAGTGAGTAGCGCTAGCTGTAGCAGCAGTAGCTTCAGTAGCAGCAGCAGTGAGTAGCACTAGCTGTAGCAGCACTAGCTTCAGTAGCAGCAGTAGTGAGTAGCACTAGCTGTAGCAGCACTAGCTTCAGTAGCAGCAGCAGTGAGTAGCACTAGCTGTAGCAGCAGTAGCGTCAGTAGCAGCAGCAGTGACAGCTCGGGCTGGGCAGCGCGTAGTAGCAGTAGGCGCGCGTGGGCTGTGGGCGTGCCAACCAGGGGCGCGCAACAGGTGCGTGCGGGGCGGCACTACGAGGAGCGCGCATCAGGTGCGTGCTAGGGGCTGGCGGGCAGCGTGAGTGGCGCGCGCAGCAGCAGGAACGAGGGGGGGACCGGGCGTAGGGGCTGACGGGCCGCGCGAGAGGCGCACGGGGCAGCTAGGGCTCGGTCAGGGGGGTCGCACGTGACTAGGAACAGAAAATCGCGTCTAGGCAGAAAAGGGAACCGTCTCGCCTAGGGCACGTTTTCGCATTTCGCGTTTCTCCTAGGGGCGCGACTCGGGCAGCAGGTCGAAATAGTAGTGGTGGGCCCTTTTAAAATTTCGGTCCTAAGGAGCATTGTGCTCTGATACCATGTTAGAGTTACTAGCTAGATGAGTGGATTCGATTAGGTAAGGGGGGGGTACAAGGACTATCGAGAGAGATTGTTGTACCCTCTAAGGAAAGAACCCTACACAACCTAGAGTGAAATAAGCAGAACAATATGTTTTGACAGCCTCGAGACAGACAGGTGCAAACAAACACACACACATACCGTATCTCACATAGGCGCACACGCGCACGTACATACGCACATGTACAACACACACTAACACACACGCAAGCAAGCACAGATAGATACAAAGACCGTAATAAAGACACAACCGTCATGAATAAAATTCAGAAATGCAGAAATGATTGCTGGCCTATCCCACCTTCCCCTCCCTACAACCCTCCCTCCCTCCTTCCCTCATCTCCATCCCACTCCCTCCCTCATCTCCCTTCGCAGCTCATGCGCCCTGCACAAAGCAAAATCAGGGAAATCAACACACACACGCCCTGCACAAAGCAAAACCAGAGAAGTCAACACACACACGCCCTGCACAAAGCAAAATCAGAGAAGTCAACACACACGCGCCCTGCACAAAGCAAAATCAGAGAAGTTAGCACACACGCGCCCTGCACAAAGCAAAAACAGAGACGTCAACACGCGCCCTGCACAAGCAAAAACCGAGAAGTCAACTCTCACACGCGCCCTCTCACGCTCGCTCACGCGCTCTCTCACACGGACTCTCACGCGCTCTCTCACACGAACTCTCACGCGCTCTCTGACACTCTCTGACGTGCTCTCTCATGCGCACACTCAAGCGCTCTCACTCGCTCACTCACGCGCTCTCTCACGCGCTCTCTCACGCGCTCTCTCCCGCGCTCTCTCATGCGCTCTCTCACGCGCGCTTTTACGCGCACTCTCACGCGCTCTCTCACGCGCGTTCTCACGCGCTCTCTCCTGCGCTCTCTGACGCACTCTCGCACACGCTCTCTCACGCTCTCTAACGCACTCTCTCACGCGCTCCCTCATGCGCTCCCTCACGCGCACTCTCTCGCACATTCTCTCTCTCTCTCATGCGCTCTCTCGCGCGCTCTCTTGCGCGCTCTCTCACTCGCTCTCTCGCTCGCACTCTCACTCGCCCTCTCACGCGCTCTCTCACTCGCACTCTCGCACTCTCTCACATGCTCTCTCACGCAATCTCTCATGGGCTCTCACGCATTCCGTCGCACTCCCTCTCGCGCATTCTCTCTCACGCGCGCTCTCTCACGCGCTCTTTCATGCAATCTATTACGCGGTCCTTCACGCGCTCTCTCACGCACTCTCTCACGCACTCTCTCACGCGCTCTCTGACACGCGCTGTCTCACGTGCTCTCTCACGTACTCTCTCACGCACTCTCTCACGCACTCTCTCACGCGCTCTCTCATGGGCTCTCACGCACTCCCTCACGTGCTCTCTCTCGCGCACTCTCTTGCGCATTCCCTCGGTCACGCGCTCTTTCTCGCGCACTCCCACGCGCCTCTTACGCGCACTCCCACGCGCTCTCTTACGCGCTCCCTCACGCGCTCTCTCACGCGCTCTCTCACGCGCTCTCTCACGCGCACTCTCACGCGCACTCGCTCTCTCACGCGCTCCCTCACGCGCTCTCTCACACACTCTCTCACGCGCTCCCTCACGCGCTCTCTCACACACTCTCTCACGCGCTCCCTCACGCGCTCTCTCACGCGCACTCTCACGCGCTCTCTCACGCGCTTGCGCTCTCTCACTCGCACTCTCACGCGCACTCTCACGCACACTCTCACGCGCACTTTCACACGCACTCTCACGCGCTCTCACACGCTCCCTCACGCGCTCTCTCACGCACTCTCTCACGCTCTATCTCACACACTCTCTCACGCGCTCTCTCACGTGCTCCCTCACGCACTCTCTCACGCGCTCTCGCATGCGCACTCTCACGCGCTCTCTCACATGCTCTCTCACGCAATCTCTCATGCGCTCTCTCACGGGCTCTCACGCATTCCGTCGCACTCCCTCTCGCACACTCTCTTGCGCATTCTCTCTCTCATGCGCTCTCTCATGCACACTCTCTCGCACACTCTCACGCGCTCTCTCACGTGCTCTTGAATGCAATCTTTTACGCGGTCCTTCACGCGCTCTCTCACGCGCTCTCTCACGCACTCTCTCACGCACTCTCTCACTCGCTCTCTGACACGTGCTCTCAAACGCGCTCTCTCACGCGCTCTCTCACGCGCTCTCTCACACGCACTCTCACGCGCACTCGCTCTCTCACACGCTCCCTCACGCGCTCTCTCACGCACTCTCTCACGCGCTCCCTCACGCGCTCTCTCACGCGCACTCTCACGCGCTCTCTCACGCGCTCGCGCTCTCTCACTCGCACTCTCACGCGCACTCTCACGCACACTCTCACGCGCACTTTCACACGCACTCTCACGCGCTCTCACACGCTCCCTCACGCGCTCTCTCACGCACTCTCTCACGCTCTATCTCACACACTCTCTCAAGCGCTCTCTCACGTGCTCCCTCACGCACTCTCTCACGCGCTCTCGCATGCGCACTCTCACGCGCTCTCTCACATGCTCTCTCACGCAATCTCTCATGCGCTCTCTCACGGGCTCTCACGCATTCCGTCGCACTCCCTCTCGCACACTCTCTTGCGCATTCTCTCTCTCACGCGCTCTCTCATGCACACTCTCTCGCACACTCTCACGCGCTCTCTCACGCGCTCTCTCACGCACTCTCTTGCGCACTCTCTCACGCGCTCTCTGACACGTGCTCTCTCACGCGCTCTCTCACGCGCTCTCTCACGCGCTCTCTCACGCGCACTCTCACGCGCACTCGCTCTCTCACACGCTCCCTCACGCGCTCTCTCACGCACTCTCTCACGCGCTCCCTCACGCGCTCTCTCACGCGCACTCTCACGCGCTCTCTCATGCGCTCGCGCTCTCTCATGCACTCGCGCTCTCTCACTCGCACTCTCACGCGCACTCTCACGCGCACTTTCACACGCACTCTCACGCGCTCTCACACGCTCCCTCACGCGCTCTCTCACGCACTCTCTCACGCTCTATCTCACACACTCTCTCACGCGCTCTCTCACGTGCTCCCTCACGCACTCTCTCACGCGCTCTCGCATGCGCACTCTCACGCGCTCTCTCACATGCTCTCTCACGCAATCTCTCATGCGCTCTCTCACGGGCTCTCACGCATTCCGTCGCACTCCCTCTCGCACACTCTTTTGCGCATTCTCTCTCTCACGCGCTCTCTCATGCACACTCTCTCGCACACTCTCACGCGCTCTCTCACGCGCTCTTTGATGCAATCTCTTACGCGGTCCTTCACGCGCTCTCTCACGCGCTCTCTCACGCACTCTCTCACGCACTCTCTCACGCGCACTCGCTCTCTCACACGCTCCCTCATGCGCTCTCTCACGCACTCTCTCACGCGCTCCCTCACGCGCTCTCTCACGCGCACTCTCACGCGCTCTCTCACATGCTCGCGCTCTCTCAGTCGCACTCTCACGCGCACTCTCACGCACACTCTCACGCGCACTTTCACACGCACTCTCACGCGCTCTCACACGCTCCCTCACGTGCTCTCTCACGCACTCTCTCACGCTCTATCTCACACACTCTCTCACGCGCTCACTCACATGCTCTCTCACGCAATCTCTCATGCGCTCTCTCACGGGCTCTCACGCATTCCGTCGCACTCCCTCTCGCGCACTCTCTTGCGCATTCTCTCTCTCACGCCCTCTCTCATGCACACTCTCTCGCACACTCTCACGCGCTCTCTCACGCGCTCTTTGATGCAATCTCTCACGCGGTCCTTCACGTACTCTCTCACGCACTCTCTCACGCGCTCTCTCACGCGCTCTCTCACGGGCTCTCATGCACTCCCTCACATGCTCTCTCTCGCGCACTCTCTTGCGCATTCCCTCTGTCACGCGCTCTTTCTTGCGCACTCCCACGCGCTCTCTCACGCGCACTCCCACGCGCTCTCTTATGCGCTCTCTGACGCACTCCCTCACACGCTCTCTCACGCGCTCTCTCACGCGCACTCTCACGCGCACTCTCACGCGCACTCGCACTCTCACGCGCTCCCTCACTCGCTCTCTCACGCGCTCCCTCACGCGCTCTCTCACGCGCTCCCTCACGCGCTCTCTCACGCGCACTCTCACGCGCTCTCTCACTCGCACTCTCACGCGCACTCTCACGCGCACTCTCACGCGCACTCTCACACGCACTCTCACGCGCTCTCACACGCTCCCTCACGCGCTCTCTCACGCACTCTCTCACTTGCGCCCTCACGCGCTCTCTCACGCACTCTCTCACTTGCGCCCTCACGCGCTCTCTCACGCACTCTCTCACGCGCTCTCGCACGCGCTCTTGCATGCGCACTCTCACGCGCTCCCGTGCACACGCTCCCCCTCGCGCTCCTCTTCTTTAAATAGAAGTGCAATGCAAGAGGAAACGAATTGACTAACAAAATTTACAAGGCGAGCAGAGAAGTAAAATATAGGGGGAAATTTCAGAAGGGGGCGGGAGGATTAAAGGACCGAGAACGCACCTAATAATCAGAATGCCTCAGAAAACAACCCTCGCTGGCGCACCAACCCGCGCTCGCGCACCAAACAGCGCTCGCGCACCCTTCCGAGCTCGCGCATCGACCCGCCCTCGCGCACCAACTCGCGCTTGCGCTCGTGCACCTGTCGCCAGAGGCGACGGAAGGGAGGAGGGAGAGGCGACGACAGGGAGGAGGAGGGAGAGGCGACGGCGGGAGGGAGGGAGAGGCGACGGCGGGGAGGAGGGAGAGGCGACGGCGGGGAGGAGGGAGAGGCGACGGCGGGGAGGAGGGAAAGGCGACGGCGGGGAGGAGGAGAGGCGACGGCGGGGAGGGAGAGGCGACGGCGGGGAGGAGGGAGAGGCGACGGCGGGGAGGACGGAGAGGCGACGGCGGGGAGGAGGAGAGGCGACGGCGGGGAGGAGGGAGAGGCGGCGGCGGGGAGGAGGGAGAGGCGACGGCGGGGAGGTAAGGGAGAGGAGATGGCGGGGTGGAACGGAGTGATTGTGAGGTGGGAGAGAGAGGCGATGGCGGAGTGGGAGGGAGAGGTGACGGCGGAAAGTGAGGGAGAGGATACGGGAATGGGAGGGAGAGCGACGGCTGGGTGGGAGGTACTAGCGACGGTGGGGTGGGAGGAGAAATAGCTAGAGAAGAAAGTAGCGAGCAAGAACGGAACCTCAGGAGGAACCAAGAACGGAATCAAGAAATGAAGAGCGTCGAAATTGAGTTTGACAGCTGTGAAAGGGATGGATACCTTGGGCTTGGTTGGTTTGTCGTGGAGCTGGAGATAAATTTTCTGCCACCGCAGAATGAGGCACCGAAACTTTTCTCTATTCATAGAAGTATGAGCACAAGGGCGAATGGCAAGCTTAAACAAAACCTGGGCACTTGGCAAAAAAGCGCTCACACTAGGCTTCGAAGCTAGTGTTACGTGGAAACACATGCGCGCCACGCCATCCAACTAGCTGACACATCAGATACGGTACAGTAGTTGCAAACATAAAAACCCGCTATGGTAACCTGATAGAACAATAGCTATAGGTAAAAAAAATCCATTATATTCCAATCACAAAAAACTGTACCATGTCAATTAACACTCAAAACAATTTCGAGGGAAGAAACATCTAGAAAATATATTTTCTTCCATAATCTTTGTAAATTGCTTCTATAAGTATAATATACTTCATTATAATGTTTTTACATAGGGGATACAACTCTACGCAACCCTTCTGACGTAAACGTCGAGTCTTGTTCACCTTTCATCGTCCGGACGGAGGCCCCGTCCGGACTTCTGTAGGGTAACTAATTTCGTAACAGTCCGTTTAGATGTTCGCAAGACCCACTGCGACGTCGCTACCGTCCGGACACAATCTGACACTTTTCTGCCAAAAAGTGATCCGGACTAACCTGCTGACTCCGTCCGAACGGCATTTCGGACGGTCCGTTTTATCTGCGCTGTGATTCGGCCACGAATTGAATGATTTTCCAACCAATAGGATGCCGTCAAATTTTGGTGGCGAAATCTCCAAGTGCTATACGATTTCTGTAATGCGTGTTATTATTCATGGCGAGATTCTACATTTTCGATAGGGGAAAATGTTGCACAATTGTGGTCCGGACGTCCGGAAAACATCTGCCAAAAAGGGAAAAAGTTACGCGCCCTTACTGACTTCGACAAACAAGAAACGACCAAACCCAATAAGAAACCGAAGCGACTCGGAGAGGGATCAACACTACTGGCGAGTTCCAGGATTTTCTCCAATAGTCATACATGAACCAATAATGACGTAATCCTACAACATTTACAACAATATATGTAACCGCTGCTTGCTCGTTCGCGTGCGTTCTGCTGCTGGTGAAATAATGACGACCTTTGCAAAAAGGCTTCTTTCGCCAGACCTTCGCCACCTCCCTTCTCAGCCGCCATTTTCTTCCGGATTCCGAAGCACCTACAGCCATTCGTGAAACCCACTGGACCTAAACCTTGCCCGCCATAGTGTTTCTGAAAAGGAAAGGGAATGAAGAAAGAAAGGGAGAAGGAAAATGAAACTGCCAAAAAGAACCCAAATGCAGCACACATAAAACCCCCACTCAAGATACCCAATCAAAACGCCCAGTCAAGACACCCCATCAAGACATCCCATCCCACACCCCATCCCCCCCCCCCCCCTTCAATCGCATCAACGTATCGACCATGTACGGGGCCTCCACCCAGAGAGCCCCGCCTTCCACATCGACATCGTCCCTCTCCCGATCCACCAAATCTACGTTAATCCCCCCCATGGAAGACGCTGCTCGAAGCAGGATGACACGGGCTTGCGCCCGTTGTAACGCCACCCCGATGAGCGCCTTCAGTGACCCTAAAAGATAAGCCGAAAACACAGAGTCGTCCTCTCGACAAGCCCCCCGCGACACAGCTAGTCCCACGTGCGCATCCCCCTGCTGACGAAGCCACCGCTGAAAACGACCGCCGAGACACCCCCACGTCTCAACTATCAAAGGGGTGAACTGCACGCCCCGGTTGCGTGCAAGCAGAGGCGCGTAGTCACTCGTTTTGCGGCGCTCCCACTCCCTTGCTGCCACAACTATTTGACGCCCGCACTGTCCCAGCAGTGATGGAGACAGCGATAGCGGGTCCGCGACGCTGATCTCTAGGGCGTGAGCCTCTCCAGCCATTGGACGTCGCACCGCCACATCAACCCGCTTCCCATGCAGCACCACACTATCCTCCATTGTCACCACCCCCCCCGACGCCTTAGAGATCTTCGCCACCGCAAACTTCACCTCATCATGCACCCGAGAAGGACCATGCTGATGCCTGCATCTCAGGGCATGGTGCGGATCTGCTGGGTCAACAAACGCTGTGCCACAAACACACCTCCCCGCCACCTGCAGCTGCTGGATTGGGAGACCGAGCCGTATAGCAGCAGCAATGCCCCACTTAGCCGCAGTGAATGTGAGATCTGAGTGAGCCGGAACCGCCGAAACCCATGCACCTGCCCCCGGGCCCTGAAGGGATGTGAAACGGGCCAAGGTGGCATCGTCACGAGCCAAGCGGCGCAGTGCCTGGAGCTCCTCTACAGCTAACTGCCGCTGCCGCGCCTGGAAAAGCCGAACAGGAGGGGCCGCTACACACAGAGGTAAGCCCGGTATCTCGTGGTGGATAGTCGCTGGCAGCTGCTCAAGAGCCTTGAAAAACCACGGGTCAAGAAACTCTGCCCCTGTCGAAGTGGTGAGGTACTCTGCAAACATCGCCTCCTCACCCGCCACCCCTAACTGTGCAATGTCACGCGCGGCCTGCGCCCACCCACAAACATAGGACAGTGGGCTCAAAGAGGCCGCCGCCCGGATCCCGAACCCTCCGAGACGCACAGGGAGATGCATCTGTATGCGTGCGCACCTAGACCGGTCGGGGTCCTGCTCCCAAGTGCCAGGTGAAAAAAGCTGCTCAAAGCAATCCTCTAAACAGCTGTCCCAATCCCTAAAAGCCTCAACTACCTCCGGACGCGGCGGCATAGTCCGGGCGAGGTACATCGGCCGCGCTGAAACTACAATGGCGAGGAGGTGTGAAGCCATCTGGGGGTGGTCGAGCAAGGGGAGCCATGGCAGTGGCGCCTGCAACTGTCGAAGCCGCTCCCGTAGCCGGACCACCTCTCAAACCTCCTCTCCAATAGGCACGCCCACCACAGTAAGACCCTCATCCACCCGCTGCATCCCCAATGGCAGTGCCCGCTCCACCTCCTTGCCCTCGCGCTCCCAAAACCGGCACTTGTGCGCCTGCACCTCCAGCCCCACCCACTCCAACCGCTCCCGAAGCACCCCAAAAGCCTCCAGAATCCTAGCCGCTGGCCCCAAAATATAGGTATCGTCTGCATAGCTTAGGAAAAGCAGGTCCTTGAACTCCCTAGTAACCGGCTCCATCACCTGCTGCTGAGTGAACGCGAAAAGAAAAGGGCCGAGCGGGTCCCCCTGCCTCGATCCCCGTGCTGACTCGAGGCTCTGTACGAAAGGGCCTGCTCGGAGGTACAGGTCGCTAGGTGTCCCATAAAAGACACGCAAGAATGGGATCATCCCTGAGAAAGGCGACTCCCGCAGCCCATCGAACATCACATGACGGTGAAACGAATTGAAGGCGTTTGCGACGTCTATCTATAGCGCACACCAGTCGGGGTGAGTGGCCAGCGCTGACCGGAAAGAGTGAGTGAGAATCTCCGCCCCGACCCTGGTGCCCGCTCCCAGCTGGTTGCACGGCAGGACGTAGGAAACCATTGCAGGGCGGAGCGAGATGCAGAGAGCTCGAGCAAGGATACGAGGAAGCACCTCCCCGATCGCCACCGGCCGGACGTCGCCGTTAGGCTTGGAAAGCCCGACTAGGTTGGATGCGGCGAGCCACGGCCGAGCCCGCTCGGGGACCTGTCCTGCCACCCATTGGTTGAACACTTCCAACAAGTGGGAAAGGCAGGAAGGTTCAGTGAGGAAGGTGTCGCGCAGATGCTCTGTGACCCACCCCGATGGCCCTGCTGCTGAAGCTCGAGCGGCTGTATGGATAGCTCTGGCCAGGATGTCGGTCGTGAGTGAAGGCCGCTGAGCAGTATCGATGGTGAAATCGCGGACCCACTGTGGTACCTCGCCAGCGCTAGCCGGGTGCTTCTCTCGCAGCGACTGCACCATGACCTCAGACGGTCGAGCCAACTCCCCTGCTGTAAGGCAGGCCAATCCACGCCTCCACTCCCCCACTTTGCACCGAGATCGGCACCGTGACAGGCGGATGGCATCCGGGTCCTGGTCAGAGCAAGTGTAGGAAAGTGGGCGAACTGCTGGCCGCGCCGCCACCATGGCAGAATCGAACAGCTCCCGCCACCTCCCCTCCCAGAACGCACCCAACCGCTCTGTGATCAGCGCCTTCTGACCTATGCCTGGCTTGGGAGGCATGGCTAGGATGAGGCGCGGAAACGCCAAGAGTAGGAGGGTAGCGGCTTCATCTCCCGGCTGGCTCTTCAAGCGCTTAAGGATGCAACAGAGCGCGTCTAAAACCCCCGACCTGGCCCGCTGTGGGATCCGAAGCACTGTCCTCCCTCCAACCGCCTCCACGCTGAAAAATGTTTCCCATTCCCATGACGTAACCCCAGCCCACGCCTCCTCCCCAAATTCCCGCGGCGTCGATCGCTCCTGCGTGTCGGTCTCCACCAGAGACGGAATCGAGCCGAGAGCCTGTGCACGCCTCTCCGCCTCCGCCGCTCGGCATACCCTCATGTGGTTCGCAGCGGCCCCCCGCGTAGCGAAAGTGTGGAAACACGTGTCGCACGGAAAGCGGGGGCATGGGGAAGGCGGCATGGGAGGTGCTTCGTCCGCCTCTGACTCCTCCACAGTCGCCATGGGGGTATCAAGCTCCAAAAGTCGACACCACTCCTCCAACTATTGCTCCTGGTCGTCCATCGATCGCCCCCCTGATTGCTGTGCTCCTTGGGGTGCCCAGGGCACCCTCGGCTGCCCCCCTGGCTGCTGCACTCCCTGGGGTGCCCCAGTCACCCCCGGCTACCCCCCTACCTGCTGCTCCCCCTGGGGTGCTCCGAGCACCCTCGGCTGCCCTCCTGCCTGCTGCACTCCCTGCCCTCCTGCCTGCTGCACTCCCTGGGGTTCCCCAGGCACCATCGGCTGCCCTCCTGCCTGCTGCACTCCCTGGGGTGCTCCGGTCACCCCCGGCTGCTCCCCTACCTGCTGCTCGCCGTGGGGTGCTCGGGTCACCCCCGGCTGCCCCCCTAGCTGCTGCTCTCCCTGGGGTTCTCCGGTCGCCCCCGGCTGCCCCCCAGCCTGCTGCTCTCCCTGGGGTGCTCCAGGCATCCTCGGCTGCCCTCCTACCTGCTGCACTCCCTGGGGTGCCTCGGGCACCCTCGGCTGCCCTCCTGCCTGCTGCACTCCCTGGGGTGCCCGGGGCACCCTCGGCTGCCCTCCTGCCTGCAGCACTCCCTGGGGTGCCCCGGGCACCCTCAGCTGCCCTCCTGCCTGCTGCACTCCCTGGGATGCCCCGGGCACCCCCGGCTGCCCTCCTGCCTGCTGCACTCCCTGGGGTGCTCCGGGCACCCCCGGCTGACCCCCTGCCTGCTGCACTCCCTGGGGTGCCCCGGGCACCCCCGGTTGCCCCCCTGCCTGCTGCACTCCCTGGGGTGCCCCGGGCACCCCCGGCTGCCCTCCTGCCTGCTGCACTCCCTGGGGTGCCCCGGGCACCCCCGGTTGCCCACCTGCCTGCTGCACTCCCCGGGGCGCCCCGGGCACCCTCGGCTGCCCTCCTGCCTGCTGCACTCCCTGGGGTGCTCCGGGCACCCCCTGCTGCCCTCCTGCCTGCTGCACTCCCTGGGGTGCCCTGGGCACCCCCGGCTCCCCACCTGCCTGCTGCACTCCCTGGGGCGCCCCGTGCACCCCCGGCTGACCCCCTGCCTGCTGCACTCCCTGGGGTTCCCCGGGCACCCCCGGTTGCCCCCCTGCCTGCTGCACTCCCTGGGGTGCCCCGGGCACCCCCTGCTGCCCTCCTGCCTGCTGCACTCCCTGGGGTGCTCCGGGCACCCCCGGCTGACCCCCTGCCTGCTGCACTCCCTGGGGTGCCCCGGGCACCCCCGGTTGCCCCCCTGCCTGCTGCACTCCCTGGGGTGCCCCGGGCACCCTCAGCTGCCCTCCTGCCTGCTGCACTCTCTGGGGTGCCCCGGGCACCCCCGGCTGCCCTCCTGCCTGCTGCACTCCCTGGGGTGCTCCGGGCATCCCCGACTGACCCCCTGCCTGCTGCACTCCCTGGGGTGCCCCGGGCACCCTCGGCTGCCCTCCTGCCTGCTGCACCCCCCGGGGTGCCCCGGGCACCCTCGGCTGCCCTCCTGCCTGCTGCACCCCCCGGGGTGCCCCGGGCACCCCCGGTTGCCCCCCTGCCTGCTGCACTCCCTGGGGTGCCCCGGGCACGTCCGGCTGCCCCCCTGCCTGCTGCACTCTCTGGGGTGCCCCGGGCACCCCCGGCTGCCCTCCTGCCTGCTGCACTCCCTGGGGTGCTCCGGGCATCCCCGACTGACCCCCTGCCTGCTGCACTCCCTGGGTTGCCCCGGGCACCCTCGGCTGCCCTCCTGCCTGCTGCACCCCCCGGGGTGCCCCGGGCACCCTCGGCTGCCCTCCTGCCTGCTGCACCCCCCGGGGTGCCCCGGGCACCCCCGGTTGCCCCCCTGCCTGCTGCACTCCCTGGGGTGCCCCGGGCACGTCCGGCTGCCCCCCTGCCTGCTGCACTCTCTGGGGTGCCCCGGGCACCCCCGGCTGCCCTCCTGCCTGCTGCACTCCCTGGGGTGCTCCGGGCATCCCCGACTGACCCCCTGCCTGCTGCACTCCCTGGGGTGCCCCGGGCACCCTCGGCTGCCCTCCTGCCTGCTGCACTCCCCGGGGTGCCCCGGGCACCCCCGGTTGCCCCCCTGCCTGCTGCACTCCCTGGGGTGCCCCGGGCACCCCCGGCTGCCCCCCTGCCTGCTGCACCCCCTGGGGTGCCCCGGGCACCCCCGGCCGACCCCCTGCCTGCTGCACTCCCTTGGGTGCCCCGGGCACCCTCGGCTGCCCTCCTGCCTGCTGCACCCCCTGGGGTGCCCCGGGCACCCCCGGTTGCCCCCCTGCCTGCTGCACTCCCTGGGGTGCCCCGGGCACCCTCGGCTGCCCTCCTGCCTGCTGCACTCTCTGGGGTGCCCCGGGCACCCCCGGCTGCCCCCCTGTCTGCTGCACTCCCTGGGGTGCCCCGGGCACCCCCGGCTGCCCCCCTGCCTGCTGCACTCCCTGGGGTGCCCCGGGCACCCCCGGCTGCCCTCCTGCCTGCTGCACTCCCTGGGGTGCCCCGGACACCCTCGGCTGCCCTTCTGCCTGCTGCACCCCCTGGGGTGCCCCGGGCACCCCCGGTTGCCCCCCTGCCTGCTGCACTCCCTGGGGTGCCCCGGGCACCCTCGGCTGCCCTCCTGCCTGCTGCACTCCCTGGGGTGCCCCGGGCACCCCCGGCTGCCCCCCTGCCTGCTGCACTCCCTGGGGTGCTCCGGGCACCCTCGGCTGCCCCCCTGCCTGTTGCTCTCCCTGGGGTGCTCCGGTCACCCCCGGCAGCTCCCCTGGCTGCTGCTCTCCTTGGGGCGCCCCGGGCACCCAGGGCTGCCCCCCCACCCGCGGAGCTCCCGGGGGTGTCTCGGTCGCCCCCGGCTGCCCCTCCGCCTGCTGTGTGGCAGCTCCGCTTCCAGTTCGCCCTTGCGTCTTACGGGCGTGTTGTCTCCCGCCTCGGCCCCGTGCCCGGGTTCTCTTCGCTTGGCTTGTAGAGTCCGCACTAGCGACCTCCAGCTGCCCCCGCGCCGGCAGCTCCCGCCGCTCCCCCTCCGACAGCTCCTGCTGCCCTCCCCCCGACAGCTCGAGCTGCCCTCCTGTTGGCAGCTCCTGCCGCTCCTCCCCCGGCAGTTCCTGCTGCTCTCCTGCCTGCAGCCGGACTTGGCTCCCTGATTGGTCCTGCTGCACCTCTGGCATTAGCTCGGCCATCTCCACATCCACCGCTTGCTGCTCCCTTGCCGGCAGCTGCCCCACCCCCGGCGGCTTCTGCCGCTCTTCCCTTGGCAGCTCCAGCTGCTCTCCCCCGGACGGCCCCTGCTGCCCTCCTGCCTGTGGCCAGGTCTGGTTTCCCGATTGGTCCTGCTGTGCCTCTGGCTGTAGCTCGGCCATCTCCACTTCTACCGCTTGCTGCTCCCTTGCTTGCTGCTCCCTTGCCGGCAGCTCCTGCTGCTCTTCCCTTGGCAGCTCACGCTGCTCTACCCCGGGCGGCTCCTGCTGCCCTCCTGCGTGTGGCCGGGCACGGTTCCCCGATTGGTCCTGCTGCACCTCTGGCTGTGGCTCGGCCATCTCCACTTCTACCACTTGCTGCCCCCCAGCCGGCAGCTCCTGCTGCCCTCTCGCCGGCACCTCCAACTGCCCTCTCGCCTGCACCTCCTGCTGCCCTCTCGCCGGCACCTCCTGCTGCCCTCTCATTGGTGCCTCCTGCTGCCCTCCCGCTGGCACCTCCTGCTGCCCTCCCGTTGGCACCTCCTGCTGCCCTCCCGCTGGCACCTCCCGCTGCCCTCCTGCCTGCAGCTCCTGCTGCCCCCCCGCCGGCAGCTCCAGCTGCCCTCCCGCCAGCCGCTCCTGCTGCTCTCCCTTCGGCAGTACCTGCTGCTCGCCTGCCGACTGCGCCTGCCGCCCTCTTGCCTACGGCTCTTGCTGCCCTCTCGCCGGCAGCTCCAGCTCCCCTCTCGCCGGCAGCTCCTGCTCCCCTCTCGCCGGCAGCTCCTGCTCCCCTCCCGCCAGCTGCATCTGCTGCTCCCTTGCCTGTGGCTTCCGGGCCTCCCCCAACAGCCAGTTCTGCTGCCCCCCCTCCTGCCTCGAGGGATGTGTCCCCGCTGGACTCCACTGCTGCCCTTCCGCCCGGGCTCTCCGTCTCTGTTCCTGCCTTTGGGCCAGGCGAGGCCCGCGCGGAGCTGTGAGGGCTGGGCGTGCCGAAGGATTTCCTAGGGCCCTCCGCCGCCTATCATGAGACTCCTGCAGTCGTCGGCGGTGTGCCTCCCATGCAGCCATCGCCGCGTCATCACCGGTACCTTGCCTGTGCGCCCCATGACCGCACTCGCCCTCGTCCGTCACGTCCAGGTCCCGGTTGGAGATGGTGTCGCTGCCGCCTACGAAGCCGCCGAGAGTGTCTTTGGGTGGTTCCTCTGTCCCCCCCTCTGTCGAGAGGGGTCTATACCTTTGTCGCTTGCTGGGCTTGCCAAAAAGGCAGAGTGCATCCTCGTGGTGGAGGCGACAGAGTTGTGGGTATTGCATACTCGGCGCTGCCTCCCTGGGTCTCTTGTGGCCAATCCTCGCGATGATCTACCTCCCCCGGTCTGGGGGGTCTGGATCTTTGGTCATGGCGTAAGATGTTTGCGGGGGGCGCTGGAGGGGCGCCTCCCGCCTTCGATATAAGGCTCGCAGTCCGGGTGAGTCGAAGGTGTTGGGCGTCGCTGGCGCACGGAGACTCCCCTATACGCTGGACGCTCCTACCTGCAGGTGTTGGTACCTAGGCGCGGGTCTCGCTTTGTGGTCCTCCCTACACGCGGTAGTCGCTGCCTAGGCGCGAGCTTCACTGCGATGGCGCTCCTACCCGCATTTTAGCTGCCTGGGCGCTGATCCCTCCGCCGCGGCGCGGATTTCGTTGCTACGGCGCGGGTTTCACTGTTACGTGGCGGATTTCGCTGCTACGGCGCGGACTTCGCTGCTACGGTGCGGGTTTCGCTGCTAAGGCGCGGATTTTGCTGCTACGGCGCGCAATTCGTTGCTACGGCGCGCACTTCGCTGCTACGGCGCGCACTTCGACGCTACGGCGCGGGCTTCGCTGCTACGGCGCGGATTTCGCTGCTACGGCGCGGATTTCGCTGCTACGGCGCGGATGTCGCTGCTTCATCGTGGGTTTTGCTGCCTAGGCATGGATGTCGCTGCTACGACGGGGATTTCGCTGCCCCGGCGCGAATTTCGCTGCTACGGCGTTGATTTCGCTGCTACGGCGCGATGTTCGCTGCTGCGGTGCGGATTTCGCTGTTACGGCGCGGGTTCCACTGCCCAGCTGCGCGCTGCTACCTGCAGTTCGCGGGCTAAGCGGCTAAATCACCAGTTGGTCAGCAAGATCGCTGCTTTGCAGCTAGGTCGCGGGCGGGGCGGCTAAATCGCTGGCTGAGCGGCTAAAATGCGGGCTAGGCGGCTAGATCGAGGCGTAGGCGGCTAGATCACGGGCTGGGCGGCTAGATCGCGGGCTGGGCGGCTAAATCGCGGGCTGGGCGGCTAGATCGCGGCCTGGGCGGCTGAATCGCGGGCTAAGAGGCTGGGTCGCGGGCTACGTGGCGGAATCGCGCTGCTACTAGCGAGGAAAGAGCTGCTGCCTAGCGGGAGTCGCGCTGCTGCCTAGCTGGGATCGCGCTGCTGCCTAGGTAGCTGGGATCGCGCTGCTGCCTAGGTAGCTGCTGCCTGGGTAGCTGCTGCCTAGGAATCGCGCTGCTGCCTAGGTAGCTGGGATCGCGCTGCTGCCTAGGTAGCTGGGATCGCGCTGCTGCCTAGCGAGAGTCGCGCTGCTGCCTAGCTGGGATCGCGCTGCTGCCAGTTCCAGGATTTGGTGAGAACCCCTCCCCGAGTCGCTTCTGTAATCCAGCCGTTAGAAACTACCAGTACAGCAAATATGCTGCTTGGAAGAACCCTTAAAAAAGTCAGAATCTTCAATAATGATTCACGGTTCCTCCAATTTCATGGACTTAGCAGTATACCTGGGATGGGAGAGCAACAGCTTGTCTGATTGGGGTTGTCATTGGGTCAGTGGCTTATGATGGGCGTTGAAGCAAGATGTGTTGAGAGCAGGCCTCAAAAGTGAAGGGAAAAAATGCCCAGATTGCCTAGTCATGGAAGTTAGAGCGTATGTTGGAAACAATTGACTTAAGCGCCTCTGTCGTGTCGAAACACTAAGTCATAAGCGAAGCAGAACATATCGAAGCATCGGCGAGTCAACCCTCGGAGGTTGAGCAACTGCTGGAGGTTACGCGAAAGTCAAAGGTCAGCGACCTTTGACTTGACAAATACAGCGCGACAGCAAGGACAAACAACTGACTCGTTATTGAGCAGTTGCCCGAGTCGTCACTGTATCGAACTGCAACAGCAACAGCAAAACAGTTATTAGTTATAACTGTTCATATTCTCTTGTACTCTTATAAAAGCTTGTATCCCTTTGTTTTAATCAATCTACTTTGCCCTCACATACTAGCGCAAGGTGGTTCAAACACTTCACTAAACGCTTCCGCTATTACATCATTCCTATCCAGAGTTTAGTCCTGTAAAGATCCTAAGGGCTTACTCAGCCCAACAGCGTATTCCTATCCTCGTATCAAGAAAACCTCATATCAACCTCCCACTAAAAATTCCCCTAAACCCAAAACCTCTCGCTACTTTTACCAGGCAAAAAGTACAATCTTGATATGAGGTTTTCTTGATACGAGGATAGGAATACGCTCTTAGCCGCCATAGTACAGATTGAGCGATTTAGTAGTCAGGGTGTACAGGCTTCACCCAGGCTGACGGGTGAACGTGGCCAGGTGCCTGCCCGTCCGAGTACACGAACTCGCTGACCTCCAGGAGTGAACTAGTCAACCCACGCATCCTGAAGGTCAGCTCCACTCACCAAGTTCGTAGAGAACGAGGGGAGGTGGAGGCCGGACAGAGAACCAGACGGGACCGCCGGACACGGCAGAACCGTGGAGGAGTGTGCAAGGACCGGACCCCCAGAGGGGTCAGCCAGAGAGACTGCCACTGGCCGACTGAGCGGCGAGAGTGTGGTGCAGTCGCGAAAGAAGGAGCGGGAAGCACCCGAGTCAAGGGTGAAAGTGTGCAAGGCCGCAGCAGGCGCAGTACCAGAGACAGCAGACGCACCAGCACCTGGAGCAGTGGACTCACTAGCGCCTAGAGCAGCAGCCTCACCGGCACCTGGAGCAGGAGACGCACGAGCACCTAAAGCAGCAGCCTCACCAGCACCTAGAGCAGCAGACTCTATACCGCGACGAGCAGCGGCGACGCCCCGGGGGCGCCGCGACGAACAGGGAAGGCGCCCAGGGGGCGCCGCGACGAGCAGGGGCGACGCCCCGGGGGCGCCGCGACGAGCAGGGACGTCGCCCAGGGGGCGCCGCGACGAGCAGGGGCGACGCCTCGGGGGTGCCGCGACGAACAGGGACGGTGCCCAGGGGGCGCCGCGACGAGCAGGGATGGCGCCCAGGGGGCGCTGCGACGAGCAGGGACGGCACCCAGGGGGCGCCGCGACGCGCGCGGCTCGGCAGGGCGGTGCGCGGGCTGCAGAGGCAGCGCCCACGGGCTGCAGGGGCGACACGCGGCTCGGCCGGGCAGCGCGCGGGCTGCAGAGGCAGCGCCCACGGCTGTAGGGGCAGGCACGGCTGCGGGGGCAGCACGGTCGCAGAGGCAGCACGCGGGCTGCAAGGGCAGCGCGGCTGCAGGGGCGGCTAAAAAAAAAATATCCAGTTAGTGTTGAAGGAAATTGGCCCCGCCCTCGCATGGGCAAAACTGACTTTGTGGTCGGGTGTGCGGGAGGTGCAGCCGACCTTCTACAGGTGTTCGAGGGTTGCCTGTACACGAGGTGTACTAGGGAATCCATGCAAGAGTAACTGAAGCATCTGCGAGTGCAACACAGACTTCCCGTGCGCATGTACAAGTTGGGCAGCTCGTGCAGAAGTTCGCGGGTGTTCGTCTGCGCAGGGTCGCGTCTGACCCTGCGCAACCTTGAGACTGCACAGGCGAATTTTGGCCAGAAATTCGAATGTGCCCTAATTTCGACCAATCAGGAGCTGACATTTTGAAATGTCAACCGAGGTGCTCAACGAAGGTGCTCGACGAAGGTCGTCGAGCAGCGACGACGAAGGTCGTCAACCCGCGATGACAAAGGTCGTCAACCGGTGATGACGAAGGTCATCATCCTGCAGAGATGTCAGGGACTTCATCTGGTTGACCAAGTTACCTGCTCGACGAGTGTGCGAAGGTGTGCGAACGTCGTCGAGACTGTTATGGCGAAGTCGACCAACGTGGCAGCACATGGTCGACGTGGCTCATCATGTGCAACTGTCAGCATGTGGCTGACAACCTGCGCAATGTACTTGACAGTGCACGTCGTGCATAACTGTCTACAAGCACCTGCGAAGTAGGTGCTTGCACATGCGCTTACAGTCACCTGCGGATGCAATGTTGGCAAGCCGCGCGGATGCTGCGTTGGCAAGCCGCGCGAATGCAGCGTTGGCAGGCCGCCATTCTGCAGCGTTGGCAAGTCGCACACAAGCTGCGTTGGCGGACCGTGG